TAAAGAGTAAACACAGTTGATTGATAATAAATGGCTTCAGCCAACCACTAACCATGAGAAAGAAAAGGTTTTGTATTATCATTCATATTCTCTGAAAAATGGCCAAGAAATCATAAATTCTGTCAGGGTATGTAAACTTATGAGCACAATTGTAAATCTGTGGGGAAAATGTAGTTTCCTTGCTAAATATAGAAACGCAGGTACTTAGTGAAAGTAATACATTTGGGAGTTGGTGAATAGGAAGAAGCCTGATTATCAAATACTTCACAATAGAAAGCCCGTCCCAATCGCTGTTGGATCAAAACCCAACAGAAGTGTAGTTCTCTGAGATCTTGTTATTTCAATGGAAGAGTGGAATGTTTGATTAACTGTCCATTTAAACCTGGAATTTTAACTAGGACTGAATTGTGCTCCGTATTCCTCAGGTACAATCAATGTTACTCCAGTCAAGTGGCTGTCTGGAACATTTTATAAAGATTAGTGAATAATGTTTCTTCTTTCTTATATTTTAACTCTAAAGGTATTATCCAACATTGACTCTATTATCAGAAGCCCAAGAAGATCTCCTCTAATAACACTTATGCAGAAAAAGGGCCTTGGGAAAAGCTGGGCTGAGGAGGAAAGTGGATTTGAGCATCTCCCTACTGTGATTGAAACCTGGGCGGACCAGCTAATGGCCTTGAAGGTACTGGTGGTCTTCGACTTCTTTTTTCAGCCTAGGGACCTGCCCCTGCCCCTGGTTCATCCAGTGAACATCCTTTGTGTTTTCCACATATCTTTGTACTCATTTTCAATGCATGTAATTTCCACATGCAAGTAGTTAAATAATAAACAAATGTATTTCGCTGCAAAGATTTTTTTACATGCTATGCTGAGAAGTCTTTCTCTCACCTCATTTGAAATGTTTTGGTTTTAAATTAAGGAGAAGGATATAGGAACCTGATTTGCCCACGGTATCCTCTTAAATTCTTACATTGACAGCCCAAAAGAATAAGAGTAGCACATCAACATCTTTCTTTTCTTCTTTCAAGATCTTGCACCAGTCCCTGAAAAAGCTATTTCTGCGTTTAGTTCCTTGGCATTCCAAAACTATGCAGGACACTAATGAATATATTAGAGTTGAGGATCTTCAACAAATAGTGGAGGAAATCTCTGAAGAAGTAGGCAATGAAGAAAAGGTAATCTTGTTCAAAAATTCTGATTATTCATTCTTAGTCTTATGTGTTTCCTTACCTATGTGGAAATATGATAATAATAGTATGTCATTTTGGTCCTGAAAGTTCATATGTATTCATATGTATGTGATGTGGACTTATAATGATCTTAATTTGCCTATCTATTTAGAAAATGACATCCTAGTTCTTTTCCAGTTATTGTATCTGGGAGAATCCTAGACTTTAGATAGAATGCATCCCCAGGGTTCTATTATGTTTAATCAGGATTGAAATGATCTTTGGGCTCCTTTTGCTTTTATTCCTATCCTACAGAAAGCTCTGATTCCTTCACAACAAACCTTGTATGCCATTGTCTGTCATTTTCAAAAACTGTTTGATGTGAAGACTCTAAGTGGCGTTTACCCTCGGATGAATGAGGTTTATACAAAACTTGGTGAAATGATCAATGCTATGAGGAACCTCTGTGATCTCTTAGAATTAGGTAAGAATCTCTTGCTTCTTCCTCTAACCTGCTCAGAGTCAGACCAGAGTAATGTGGGATTGAAGAAAAACTCAGCTGTGTTCTTTTGGAGTGTGTGTGTGTGTCTATATATTGAAAGGACACGATAAATTTACCATAGGTTTTGCAGGAAGAGAATGGCTGCCATAAAATTTTTACCTCAGATAAATGTTTTTCCTGCATCTTAAACTTAATTGCAAATGTACTTGAATTGAAATAAAAGCTGAGGATGGAATAATAAAATACAGTACATGGCACCAAATCACATTGAATTCTACATATTTTGTTTGGTTTGGTCATATACAAACTCAGCAAAAGTATGTTGCAAAAGACAATTAAACGCAGCGCCAGATTTGCTATTGATGCTTTGGGATTTACGGATTTTAAAAACCCATGTAAGGCAATAGTTCTGCAGCTCCCAGGACTCTATCACGTGGCCACAAGAAAGAGTGGAAATACACTTTGGAGGAGATCTGATATCTCCTTTGCTATGTCCCTACAGAAATAGCCGATCCTTTTTTGAGATGTGGAAGGATAAATGGGAAGCAGGTTAAAACCATTGTATATTCCTCATGTGCATCTTGCTCCCTTCCTTCCTTCCCTTCTTTTAATTGTAAATTGTTATTGTAAATTGTAAATAGCAAAGGAGATATCAGATCTCCTCCAAAGTGTATTTCCAGTCTTTAATTGTAAATTATTATTATTTACAGTTTTAATGCCACCCACAGTCACCTCTAGAAAAGATGGGTGCCATACAAGTTTAATCAATCAATACATTACTCAAGTAAATCCATCCAATCTCTACACACAGTCCTAAATTCTCTTTCAGATAACCTGTCATGCCCCTGTTAGAATCTGACTCCGAGGGAGAGGAGGAACAGCAGACAGAGAGTGGGAGTTTGGCTCCGGAGGTTGTGGACGAAACTGGGGAAGGGCACAGGCTGGCTGGGCATTCAGAGGAAGACCCAGGCCCATCCCCTCTTCATCCTAGGGCACGCAGGGAGGAGCAGATCAGGGAGAAACATAAATGGCATGGTCTGTGGGGAAGGAAAGGGTCCTGATCTCCTTCATGGGTTGCAGCTGTGAGGACTGTTTAAAAGGACAAACTGCGCATGGCCCAGTGCTGGAAACAAAGCATGAAATAATTCTAGTCTTTCAGTTCTTATCTGAGTTCTGGCATCCTTCCCAGTGTATTATTTCGATATCTGTGGATGTCTTCAAGCCCTTATCCTGCCTTGTCTCATTAATTGCTTCAGTGTGGTTTGTGTTGTTTTTTCTATTTATAAGTTATATGTATTTTGAGTTTGAACGGAATTTCTTCCTTTTCGCAATGATGGTGGGGGAGTTTTTTCTCCGGTCAATGATAATTTGGACCTTTGAAGCCAAGTTGAAGGAATTAAAGGGACTTCACATGTTTTTTGTGACTTCGTTGCTTTTGTATCCCACCCTGGGTCATCACATAACCCTAGAGCTGTTTTAAATGTCTTTTTTCCTCATTGCCTATAAAAAAGGGTTTTCTTCCTGTAAAGAAATGACAGGAAGGAACCTTCTTCTTCCATCCCATCCTGTTGGCGTGAACCAAGCCGGTCTTGTGAAATATCAGGGCCTCCAAAATAACATGATTGCTCTGTTAATCCTGTTGGTCTTATCCTCCCACTATCAGCACCACAATCGTTGTTGGTTTCGCCTTCCCATTCAAAGCTCTGGCATGCCTGTCTTGCACAACCTTTTCCTGTGTTGCTTTGTGTGGATGTTTGAGTGGCAACCATTTCGAGAAGCTTGATGTTTCATCTTCTGCTCCCACTTTTACCTGTTGTGAAATGTTGCACAGAAACTGATACGGTGTTTCATCACAGATAGCTCAGCACCACCTAGTGTCCTGGTGAACACTGTTGGAAAGCTATGCAATTTGTTTAATGAGAATGTGGCCTGGCAGGTGGAACAACTGCTGGGCACACAAGACATCGAAAGGTATGCAGATCTTCATAGTTAACTAATAGTAGCTTTACCAAAATGCCTTTAGCCCTACATTCTAAGTGCATAATGGAGGGAGAATTGTGTGACGTCCTGTTGGGTATTTGAAGAACACTGTCATGATCATCGCAGTCACATTATTCAAGGCAAATCTTAGAAAGCTTTTTCAGTTTTTATTGGGCTTAATTTCTAGTGGCCTGATCCTCTTTGCCTTTCTCAGAACATGTTACGTTTTTCACAGTGCTTATTAAAAGTGGGGTGTCCAAAGGTGGATATGGGTGGTACTTTAGGTGAGGCCTGATCATAGGAAAAGAAGGGAATTCTTCATTCTTGTGATATCACATGTAGTGTTCATTTAATGATACTAATTGGGACTGGCAACTCTGTCCCTAAGGATGTTATCAAAGCATGATGTCACATGGCCACACTAATTTATGATTGCAGATCCAGCAGTTCTAGTTGCCATTAGTAGGTGAATGTCACACAATCATAGTATCCTGTGATCATCATTTGCAACTTACTGCTGGTTTATCCATTGACTTTGTTGGAAACTGGCCATGAAGGTCACAAATGGTGATGGCATGACTGTGGATATTGTGATCCTTGTCATTGCCAGCTAGTTGCCAAGTGCCCAAATCACAATTATGTGACCGCTGGGATCCTGCGACAGCCACAACTATAAGGAATAGACATAATAAGTCCCCTTATTCAGTGCCATTGTAACTTCCAATGGTCACTGAATAAGTGATAGCTGAATGAAGACTAAACCTGTACATTTTGGCTGATAAGAGTTTAAAACTGCATTTGTCTTTTTTGCACTGCTATCTCATACTGCTATCTTGTACTCAATTAGCAGTTAATTGTAATCAATTGACCACCGTGATAAGATTAGCACATGTTTAAATGACAAAATGAGAGAATGAATGTTTAGCAAATTGATATTTTTCAGCATTATCTACAAGTTAGAAGAACATGATGACTTTTTCCCAGCATTTCATGCTCTTATTAACAACTTGCTTCATGTTCTAGGTAAGCACTTTCTGCAAATTAATGACACTAGAGAGAGAGGCCAAGGCTTTAAGTACATTATTTCAAATGAATTTTGTTTTTACCAGAATTTAAGGGAAACACTTAGCTATCTTTTGAAATATATCTCAAAGAAATTTGTAATGATGTGGGATTATCCATTGTCCTGGTAAGTCCGTGTGGTATATCCCGCCTCAAAAAATATTAAGAAAGAGATCAGAGGCTACCCAAAGTTATTGCTCAATTGTAATTTTAATACATGTCTAGAAAGTACTATAAAATTATAATTGTAAAATAGTTTCCTCCTCTTTGCATCCTTTTTTGGGGGAATATATGCCTACATGCTGTACACTCTTACTGTCAGAGTCCAGTAGAAAGTGATCTTAGGATGGTTCAGCAAAATTCATGGTAATTACATAAGGATTGTAGACATGGTGTTTTTTATTGGCTACTTATTTTATTGGGGATTGCCAACCATTCAGCAGGACAATTCAGTCATGATGTTTCTGTGAGAGATACACTGTGACTGCACCTTTTGAGAAGCTCAGCACATTTACTTTCAAAGAATTTTAAGGTCTTCCCAGGACCCCAAAACACTTCCCCTTGGATTGCCAATGAGGGATGCTTGTTTTTACTGCCATTTTCATTGGAGGAGTCCTTTGTGAATGTAGGTGAGATGACCTTGGGGGAAAAACAACCTGAAATAGCCATGTTCAGCCTTCATGTGGACATGCTTTTATGAATTGTAGCAATATTGCAAGTGAAGAACCCTTCTGTTTCAAAGGTGATAATTTAAGAAATCCTTAGAATGTACAGTATATTCAACCCTAGTTATTTTGAGTGTAGGGTTCTATACTGTCCAGACTGGAGTTTTCCATTCACAAACTAATTATAGCCTGGTTTGTTTATAGTCTACTTCTGAAATGTATTGGAAAATTTACATACTTTACAATATAAATTAATAAACATAGAGGCATACCTTTTAAGTACTCCATTGGATATCTAAAAATAGGTGACTGTTGAATTGAAAAGGCAAAATAATGTTTGCAAAATTACTTTTGTTTCAGAAGTCAGAAGTCTCGCAGAAATATTACCTGCTGTACAGAAGCTGAAATGGATGGTCCAATAATGTAAACTAAATGTAAACTTTTAACATATTGACTACCTCTTTATGTATTTTTGAATATTTTTTTATTAAAAATGTCTGAATGGAATCTTGAAGTTTTGTTATTTGCTTTCAATAGCATGGAACCAAATTGAACTTGGTTCAATAGGAGCCAAGTTTTCCATTAATAAGGAGTACTAATGAATAGAATGTTAGTAGTTAACAAGTCGTAAGCAGCTACTATATCATAACTTAGTTTATTATTTAAAAGCACATTACACCTGCAATTTAAACAGTTTCTGAATTAGATTCTTTGGCATAAATAATGCAAAACATAGTCTGTTTTATGTACAAAAATTAAGGCAATGATTACATACCTGGAGCACTGGCCTCTTTGCCAGACATGCTTTTTCTTTAACCCCTTGGATCCTTCAAAAAGAATCAGGATCCTTTCAAACAGAATTCAATGAAATGTGAGGAAATGCTGCTTGAAGGACTCTAGCTGCAGGGATGAAGGATTTTTTTTTGGTCTCATCTCCCAGAAAAAGAGGATTCAATCCAGATTTTAAAAAGTATGTTCTGTACGCAAAACTAGCATACTTGTCAATGTGATTTCAAAGGGATGTGGACCCTGGTTTACTTGTGGCTCTTTATGTGGTGGGACAGACCTTGGGGAGGAAAAAAACTAAGCAGCAACAAACAGTGCTTGGTCAGTTAAAACCTGAGAATATGGAATGCGGAACCCTCTGCCTCAGGATGCCGCCTGTCTTTGGTCAATCAATTGGGGAACTCCTCAAGTACACATTTATTGCTACAAACTTTGCCCTTAAAGGTTAAATGCAGGATGATGCCAAATTCATCCCTCGAAAAAGTCAGCATTTTAAGAAATTGATAGTAATGTGTTAAATAAATTAAGCATTATTGAAATATAAACATTTACAAAATCTTATAGTGGCCTTCAAAGTTCCAAATATACATGAAGTGTGCTGTTGATCAGGTGTGAAGGAATCAACTCTCGGGCTGTCCATTTATTGTCAACTGATACCTATAAAAAAAGGTAGCATGATGAATTAAGGCAGGTACTCCTCCACTAACTAACTAGCTATATAGATATCCCTGCCTTTCATGTGTGTGCGTGTGTATATGTATATATATGTATATCTTTATGCATGTGTATATAAGGCAGGGAACCAAAAAAATCCCAATTCATTTTGTCTGTCCTAGATGTAGTTTCATTATCTGGTGGTGTGATAGTGAAATTATAAGCTGAATAAAGCACAATTAAATCATTACATTGGTCTAGTTAGCTTAAAAACAGCCTTCTAGATACTCTTTCCCAGTTCCAGGACCTTCTGCTAGAATCACTTAACCTAAAATATTCAAAATGTTGCATCACCATTTGAAAGCAAAATGTTTGGAGTGACCAAAAAGGGCCTTTTCATAATTTTCAATGTTAACTTTGTTTCTTCCCTATTTTATGAAATAAAATGTTTAAAACTGACAATGGTGAAAGCAGCACAGCTGCAGGATCAAGTCCATATCTAACTACTGGCAGTACTCAAGCCATCGTTTCTTGGTTTATCCAGAAGACCATTGCTAAACCACAGAGCTACCTATTTTCTCATTTCTTACAGCTCTGTTGGTATTAAAAACTCCTTTGGATGACTACCGACTGGCCATAAATAGATCTCTCTTATCACCAGAGATCTTAACATCTCAATAGCAAAATTAAATGGATAGCGAGATTGCAACTTGAGTTTCTGCTGAATCCCATAGAAAGCAAAGGGGTGGAAAATTGTAAAGCACAGCCTAAACATATGAAGTGAAATTCTCCCTAGATTTCCCATTGCCTCCGGAAGGAGGGAGAGGAACCACTATTTGAAACAAGCGATTATTATTTCTTCTGCTTGGTCCATTCTGCACTATCCAGATCTAACAGGTAATCCTCTCATTGCATCTAGCACTGCTTGATAGGTTGCATTGCTACCTTGTATGTGCTGACCATCCAAACATACCATTGGGAGAAGCCCTTGACTAAATCTTCCTTTGACAAGTCAATCAGCACCTTTAAAAAGAAAAGTCAGAATTGTTAAGCCGCTTAATTAAATATTTGAGTTACAAGTACATGGTTTTTAAAAATAAAGTGTATTTCTGCATATAAACTGCCTAGCAAGCTCATAACACAGTACTGCTATTTAGTGTATACCTCTCCGTATTTTTTTTAAATATTTCCTCTACAGGATAGCAACATTTTGAAGTTATAGAGCAATCCATAGTTATTGTCTAAATAATTTGTATAGCAAGTTCTTACTTCAAGCGTATAAGGGTGAAGAGAAAAGGAAGGAAATCCACAGGAAAATGTGAATAGCATTTTTAAAAGAGCATCTTACCTTTCCAAGTTCTTTCCTTTCATGTGAAATAAGTGACTTTCTGTTTTTCACAGCAACATCTAAGGCCCGTTTCTTAATATCTTCCAAGGTGTCATTAAATTCAAATCTAAACGTATGAAAAAAAAAATGCTATGTAAATAGCAGTCCTCTAATGCAGCCCTTCCCCAACCTTTCTGCTTTGATGGACTGGCAGGATGGAGAGGGGATGGTTCCATGGGAGCTGCAGGTGCACGTTCGCCAGACAAATAGAGCTTTGCACACCCATGCACACTTGCATACCGCTTGCGTGGCCCTGTTCTTAAAGTTCTGATTTTTTAATACAATATATTTCTGTTTATTTATATCCTACCTTTATTATTTTTTATAAATAATTCGAGGTGGTGAACAAATGTAATACTTTCCCCACAACAACAGCCCTGTGCGGTGAGTTGGGCTGAGACAGAGTGACTGGCCCAAAGTCAGCCAGCTGACTTTTGATTTCTCAAAGTCAAAATTTGAGATTATAGAAGGTGGAATTATACATACAGGTGATATTTTCAATTACTTAGTTACTGCACAATCTCTAGTTAGTGATCTTTCTTTCTCAAGTGGAAAGGTCATTCCAAATCTTTTTTGCATCCAAGAAACATGGGTGATATTAAAAACCTCAGATTGCTTCATGTTGTACCCAGGACTGGATGTTTTGAAAATAGCACTAGAGAAAAGCTGTGACCCTAACAATAAAGTAAAACTTAAACTGAGTTGTAATTAAACCACCTAATGAATATTGCATGTTTTTCATGAGGATTACGGGGATATCAGGTGCAACATCTAGGCCTCAGCAGGAAGCAATGTTAATGCAGCATTTACTTACTTCTCATCGTACCGAGGATTCAATGTTCTTTTCTTCACAGTAGTTTTTCTTCGGGTTATCCATCTTTTGTCTGGGAGCAAGTAGATGCGAACATATGGATATGCTCCATGCCGAGAGCATTGCACTAAATTTCTTATGGGGAGAAAATGGTAGTATATTTACAATCAACAGACTAAGAAAAACTTCTGAAGAAAAGATTCAGTCAGGTTAATATCTTTCTTGAATCTGAACAACCGCAGCAGCAACAACAAAAACCTAGAGGCAATTCTTAGGATAGAATTACTACTAAGATTGAGCTGGATTGAAGTGAAATATATAAAAGGTCTAGCACTTGTAATTCTCTGAACGATCAGGAACCCAATTTGGAAGAATTCTTCACTGGGTATATATATGTAACAGTGGTGGGTTTCAAAACTTTTTCCTACCAGTTCGGTGTGAGGGTGCGCTTTGTGCATGTGCAGCGTTTGCAACTCATCTGCTACGAGCCCTGTGGGTAAATGCGCAGCAATCGGCTGTGCTGTGCAAAGTAGCTGAGGTTGAAAAGCAGAAAATAAAGGTTATGGAGCCGGGGCCAGTGGGAGGGCACAGCAGCGGAGTGAACACTCACAGATGATCATCAGAGATATCGCTTTGGCTGAACCAGGCCGAACCAGTAGAATACCATCACTGGTATGCAATTACATGCTGAAGACACCTGCAAGCTTCAACTGGACCAGAATGAAGTTATGCCCACATGATATCTGTGCTTTGTGAGCTATGTTGGTTGACATTTGCTTTTAGGTACAATCTAAGGTACTGCTTGTTACTTATAAAGCCCTATAGGGCATGGGGCTGGTCACATGAAGGACCATTTGTCTCCCATAATATTTGCCCAGACAATTTGATCTTGCAGGATGGGTGCATCCCAGCATCTTTCAATTATGCTATGCCTGAAAGTGCACCTTCTCTGTCACTGTACAGAGAACCTCTGGACTGAAGTTCTCCCAGGATCTAAATGCCCCCCTTGTTGGTGTTTCAAAGGGCCTGGAAGACTTGGCTCTTCGCTCAAGCCTTTGATGGGGATGACTGAAGCCTCCTTTTAACCCAGGTTACTTTCTTTGCTTTATACCTGCTTTATTTTTCTGCCATCTTTACCAATTTCATTGATGCTGTTTTTCATGTTTTGTTTTCCATGTTCTAAATTATTTTTAAATGGCCTATAATTGCTGGGAATTGAGCACCGTATAAATTTAAATAACAACAATACGTTCAGCCAACAATAGTTGCAGACGCTGATTGAATCCTGCAATCTAGAAAATTTGGAGGAAGAAACTGCTATGCACATATTCATTCCATTAAGCAAAGATTAAAGTAAAATAATTTCCATTACACCCAAGATATGATAAAAGTAATCCAAATATTAAAAAGAATAGTATTTCTCTTAGAACATAAACAGAGATAGATTGCTAAAAATTACTGTACCTGCATGAGTTGACCAACACAATGAGGGATTGCCTTAAGAAAGCATACCGGACAGTGATATGAATCTCTCCCATAGACCTTCCATCAGAAAGTGTCCCACTGCAAGGTAATTGGCTTAATTAAAGGAAGTTTGTGACTGAAGCAGACGGCTACTTCCTGCTTGCTTCAAAGCCAAACTTCAAGTCTAATCCCATAGAAGAGTTAAACTTTTTTGTTGTTTGATATTATAAATAGGAAAAAAATAAAAAATAAAAATAAAATCAGAAAGAGAAAAGAAAGAGATGCTTGTGCATTTTATGGTACAAAAACCAAACTGTCTTTAAATCATTCCCCAAAGAAAGCATTCTGTATTTCAACTAAGATATATATTTTTTGATAATCATAGCAGTTCATTTTTTTCTCTGGTGGGTTTCAGTATATTCCAAAATCAAATTAATACTGGTATTAAAAGAAAAATTGTTAGTCACAGAAGTATATATATTTCTGGGATTAGGAAAAGCAGTTGACCTGGATATTTCAACAGGCCTTTGAAAGAGAAGATGATTTGAAAGGGATTTGTGCTTTCTTAACGATATATGGGTCATGATTCCTCAGCATAGGAATATTTAACTATACATATTGCTGGTCATTGTTAGTTTTGCTCTTTTAATCTTATTTATGGTTTGATTGTAAGGATGCATATAGGATGCATATAACTATGACACCAGTCCTGAAGAAACTATTGTATTTCTGTAGCCTAATGCACTCCACATTTGATGAACTACTTACTTCCTAGAGACTTTGAGTTGATCCCCAACCAGATGGGCATTGTTGGATTGTAATGATAGAAATTATAGCCCAACTGTTCTAGAGGAACTATTTTCTTATAGTTCTATATTAATTATTCTGTCTATATTCTCTTATACTGAATCATAACTTGAATTATAAAATAATCTTTAATCAGATGCCTTCCTGAAATAAGCAATCTGATTCTTGAAGCTCTTCTTCCAATGCACTATTACATTTCCCTAATTCTCAGGTGGGAAATACCTGAAAATTATAATAAAAGACTTATTTCCCAGAGAACACAAGCAAAACACCAGCTCCTTCCATGTATATATAAACTCCCAATCACTATATATCGTAACTTCACCCATTGCAGCTCTTTCCTCATAAAAACCATAATGTATGGCCTCTATCAACAAAAGGTTGTCCAGTTGTACTCTAGCCAAAACCCAGATATTAAGAAATGCAAGCCCTTCCATGTGAGACTTTGAGTTGACCTAATTAGGAACTTCATTTTTTTCTATAATGCACATCTACAATTTAACCACAAACATGGAGTTCACCCTACCTATTTTCAATACTATAAATGATTAAGGAAGGAGTGAAGTAAGTACTTGGGCTAGGTAGGTCAGTTTTGTGTTACCAAATACAATTGTGAAATAAAATACCCAGTCTGACTTACTTATTGAGGTTCAGATTGCTGCAAGTTATATCCATGATTGAAGAGGCTTCCGTGCCTAGAGAGGCAAGGCTGGGGGCAATCTGGAGTCTCTGCAGAGCTGGCAATGTTGGGGGCACTCGAGTGGTCTCTGGAAGTGTCAAGCACTTGGGGTTCAATCCACCTGTAACTCCTTGCTCATTGATTCCAGCAATTGCTTCTATGACAATGGGCTCTGACAACTTCTCATTTCCATTAGGTTTAGCATTACTGCCCACGTTGTCATTTTTGCATTCAGGAACATCAGATTCTTTGTTCCCTTGGACTGCCTTGGGCAGTTCTACTGGTGGCGGTGGTGGTGGAGGAGGAGGAGGAGGAGGAGGAGGTGGTGGTGGTGGCAGCTGTGCCTTGTTTTGGTCCTCATTCTGTTCCGGGGCTGAAGCAGGAACTGGTTTGAAGGCATTAGCCCCATTATTGGTGTTTTCTGAATCAGGTACCTCTATGTGCAGGGCCTAAGGCAGACAAAGGAAGCTAGGCACGTTCATATTGTTTATTTAAACAAACCAGACACAATTAGAACCGCATCAAAACTGCTACCAAATTGTTAATGCTGAGGGTGAGAAAATGCAAGAATTACTAAATCTATAGGAAGCAATTGTGTCAATTATAAATAACATGTAGTTTGTGACTTGGCCTAATGAATATATTGCATTATGGACCTCATTCATTCATTCATTCAGTATTGCCACCCATCTCAAATGCATGACTTTGGGTGGCTAACAATTAAAAACAAAATTAAAAACAATAAGCTAAAGTATAAACAACATAAAAAAGCAACAGGACATCCAAACATAACAAATATCCACTGTTTAAACCAGCCAGAAAACCCATTCAAGGACCAAGATTTTTCAGCCTGAAAAAACTGCACATCCTTGTCTAAAGGCAGAATTTTGCCTAATCACATCCTGGTCAATTTAGCTAAGAAGTGGAAGGCCTTTAGCTGCTGATTCTGGAAAAGTGGAGGTATCACCTCTCCAGTGAACACAATGACTGAAAAAATCACAGGATTCCTATGTCCAACATGCGACTATGAAATATACTGTAGCATGTGCTGTGTTTACAGCTTAACATTCTTGTCATTCACTCTCACTGCTGCACTTGTACAAAGGCTACAGTTGTCTACATAGTACACCATTACTGTTTAATCTTATATATTATTTACATAGCTTTTCATTGGTTTTTTAAATTATTTTAGTGGAATATCAATGCTTACAGTAAGTCTTCAGGCCGATATTTGCTTGCAAAGGATGTCAATACTTAATTATTTCATCAGATATTTTTACAGAGAATTTTGCCTTGATTCAGTATTGATACAAGGAACTCTTCTATTTTGGTAGAAACTGTTGTAGCCAGAATCCTTCCCATTTATGAATTTTATTAGCAACAACAGGAATTGTTTTATTAAGAATGAAAGCAAGATAAATGTAAACTGTTGTATAATTTGTAGCATACAAATAAACCCAGAAACAATTTGAACCCATGTGTATATGTGTTGTTGGCTTCAAACCAATTTCCACTTAATTGCTCACTTGGGAAATTATGCAAATCATATGTTGGAAATGTTATGTATCACATATCCACCTAAGATTATTCTTTTGAAAATCCATGAGATTTCTGTTCCTAAACTTCCTAGCTGTTTTTTTCAAAATCCAATAAGAAATTCATTTTTTAAATTAATCATTCACCTGGTTTAAAAAAACCTGTTTTCCACAAACATCTTAGAAGCTCTGCAGCCAACTATTCTGCTTTATCACTAAGATGGCCCTAATGATCATCTTTATGGGCTCTGGATGTCAATAGATTTAGGGTGCCCTTTTAGGGTTATAATTTCAAACATGCAGTAATTTAGTCTTTAAAATATTAATGGGGCAAGGATATAGGAAGCTCAAGTGTTCCTTTAATTTTTTCTACTTCTCAAACCAGTCCATTTATTTATAGAATTAATATGTATTTATTAGCAATAGAAAGGAATGACATCCTTGGAAGGAATGCAAACACCAATAAACATTCAAACCTTGCACTTTAGAAGAAAATAGAGCTCTCTAGGTCATACTGTAGTTTAGCCTACTTTGCTCATGGTAAACCCTAACATATAAATCAAAGTCCCCAACGTACATTTAGTGTACAAACATTCTTGCACGTAGGAATTCATGCAGCAATTGCATCAATCTCTAATTAAGCCAAGGTTCAGAAAAATCTGCTTTCAATCAAAATTACTATAAATTTATTCAGAATCACTGTTTGCTTGTAAAACTAATATCAGTTACTAAAATAACTTCAGATGGAAAGTGTTCTATTAGACCCAGGGAAGTACTACCAACCGCTAACATGCGATCCTAGTTGTGAACAAATACTCCACCTATATAGTGTTACATTTATATAAAGAGGCAAGATCAAGAGATACCTTTGAAGCATTAAAATTCATAATCCATTTGGCATGGATAATACAAATTATATGATGTAAGTTTGGTTTCATTATATTCTCCAAGACTCATTATACTTAGGAGAAATATCTAGTCAAATTATTAGTATATTAAATCAGACGATAAGGCCACCACCATCTCTTATTTCACAGGAAAAAATATTAATTTCATGGACACACAGAAAAATTTCCCACAAGAACAGGAAGAATTACAATGGGGTGAGGGGCGGGAGAAAAGCAAATAGAAGAAAGCTAAGCTTACTCTCAGCACAATTTTCAGCTTAATAGAACTGTCCACACCAGAATGATCCAGTTGAAAATTTTGTTCAAGTGTCATCTCAGGGTTCTTTAATAAGCGAGCAAGAGAAATCACCAAAGTCCCAAGGGCATTCTCCTTCTCTTTATCTTTGATCTAGAACAAGGAAAACAGAGGCAGTATAAATGAGCAAGACAAGTGACTCTTGGCAGTGATTTAAACCTTCCCTTTTCAGATTACGTACACCGCCATTATGCGAACCAGCAGCAATTTCTTCATTTCGCAGGGGAGCACTGAGACAAGATATATTGAAAGGAAATTCACCAATTAATGGGACCATTTAAACCTCTTTATGGGAAATGATTACATTAACTTTCGTAATGGATGAAGAAAAGCTAATGGTTGTGGTAGGAATGCTCTAATAATAAGGATAGAATCAATTATATCTGAGCTGCTAGAAACCTATCAAAGAATTCAAAGCTAACTTAACAGCTCATTTGGTCAATATAAAGCACTGGAAGAAAAACTTCAAAAACAAGACTAATTAATATTCCCCAAATAAGACAGGGGTGGGCCATTGTGCAACATGGTACTTTAGATGCTGCAAATCAAGGCAGCATCCTTGATTTTCACAAAAGTAATTCCAATTCTGTACTTGATAATACATAATACAAGTGTGGGCTATTTGTAAAATGGACTGATGTTTTCATAGGTGACCCAGATTTGCAATAGGTCCTGTAGAGTAGGGGTCCCTATCTGGTACCGGTCCATAGCCTGTTAGAAACTGGGTTGTGCAAGCAGCGGGCAAGCAAATGAAGCTTCATGTGTACATGTGTGGGATCTAGGTTGTGAGTGAAACTATCTCCTTCCCAGTCTGTGGAAAAATTGTTTCCCATAAAACCTGTCCCTGGTACCAGGAAGGTTGGGACTGCTGCTGCAGAATATGGTGTGGGTGTCTCCGTCTTAGTGGCTGGAAATGTACTCATTAAAAACATTTCCAAACATGCATATTTTTCAAAAACAAGACAAAAAAACAACCACAATAAGAGGAGACAAAATGGGCAAATGAATGTGCATAAGTGCACCAACGTGCCTACTGTCCCTGTCCTATTGTTTCTTTTTATTCGTATCCATTTCATCAATTCATAACCATGCTTATACTTATACCTGTTATCTAATACTTGCTTGCCAAATAAAATAAATAAATAAAAATGTCCATATTTTGGAATAGCCTGTCAAATCAGTCATAGGATTACTAAGGTATATCTTTTAATACTTCACTACAAATGATTACTCAGTAAATGTTTTTTCTACTGGGCACTGATCCCCATAGATTAAATAAATACATAACCAGTCAACCAATCAATCCATTGGAAGCAGTTCTTTTGAGATTCACTGGTGCTGCCAGATACACTAAGCAATATTTTGAATTTTGGTCAGATACAAAAAAAAAAAAATTCCACCCTAAAGCCCAGCAGTCTCCTTCTCTCTTGCTATAACTGCAAGTGATGGACATGAGTGTAATATCTATAAATCCCAGTTCTCCAATATTATTAGGGAGAGAAGAAAACAAACTTACCTCCAAATGAAGAGACTGAGATGGGGCACCATGAACAAAGAAAGTGAAGGCCTGCCTCCATGCAGGATCTTTAGTGAAATTACAAGTCTGTGGAAAAAGAAACCAGAATTGACACCTGGACCTTACATCAAAGAGGTTTAGACTGCAATCCAGTTCATAAAGGCATACATCTAATTAGAAATGGATTAGAATTGCTCTATTCTGCATTCAAATCAGCTCAATTTCCCTGGCTTCAATGGGACCTGGTTCAAAGTGTACAGAGATGTTCTCTAGCAGGATGGAACATTTGGTTTCCAAGGTTTACTGAACTACAATTCTATGAGTCTTTGCTAGCACGGCCTATATGGAGGAATGCTGGGAATTGCAGTTCAACAACATCTGGAAGGCCACCATTTGTATTACCGAAAGGAGACATGATTCAAAGTTTATGTATCAATCACCCTGACTGCCAGTTCATTTTCTTTCACCAGAGCTTTTCAAAGAATTGTTTTCTATCTAGCACCGTGATGGCGAACCTATGGTACGCATGCCAGAAGTGGCACACAGAACCATTTCTGCTGGCATGTGAGAGGTCGCCTGGAACAGAACCACTGTGCATGTGCGGGCACCCCCCCCCCAGTTGATTGTCAGGTATTTGCCGCGCATGCATGGGGGTCAGGGCATGCACAGAGGGATCATGCACGCATGCACAGGGGATGGGGGGTCATGCATGCATTGCATTATGGGTGCAGTCACGTGCATGCACACACACGTATATACTTTTGGCACACGACGAGAAAAAGGTTAGCCATCACTAATCTAGCAGTTCTGCAATACAATACAGGTAGTGTTTGACTTACAACAGTTTGTTTAGTGACCACTTGAAGTTACAACGGCACTGAAAAAAACTACTTATGGCTTATTGTTGCAGCATCTGCATGGTCACGTGATCAAAGTTCTGACTCATATTTTTGAGAGTTGCAATGTCCCAGAGATGATGTGATCCTTTTTAGTGACCTTCTGACAAGCAAAGTCAATGGGGAGGCCAGATTTACCTCACAACTGTGTTTATTAACTTAACAACTGCAGTGATTCACTTAATAACTGTGGCATGAAAGATAATAAAATGGGCCCAAACTCACATAATAATGAATGTTTTGCTTAGTTTCGCTTAGTCAATTGTGGTTGTGAGTTGAGGACTACCTGTATTATATATTCATACTGAAATCTGACAATTGAGTAGTCCTTCTGTAACTGACGCTCTGAGCATGGTGACTTACTTTGACCCTGAGGGAACAGGAAGAATTTAGCTCCTCATCCAGAGATTTTAAATGAACCATTAACAAGGCCACAGTTGATCCTGAGACCAGATCAATTAATCCTAAATTTAAAGTGGAGTAATAGGGTGTTCTCCTTTCCACCCCTCTAGGAATGATAATTCACTACATCGAAAGCTCTTTCCAAAGAACAGCTCAGCTTTTGACAGACTGGTTATAATCTACTCCCAGCATACAATCAAGACAGGATTTTCAATCACCTTGTTCCTGCATAGGGGCACAGATCCCGGTCTACCATCTCAACATCATGTCTTCTGGGGAAAATCAAGGACCTCAGTAAGGAGGGATTCATTAGTGCTTGGATGTATCAGCAGCTCTCAAAATGGAGCTCAAGGAAAGCATTCTCAGTCATCCAGGTCATAAACTGTCTCAAAGGGTGCTTTTTTTCAAATGGAAAGTGGACTGTTTTTCATTGAGGAAGAACAAGAAAATGGCATTTTGCTTCTCATCCAAGAAGCTTCATCGGTCCTGGCAGGATGGTGGGGCCAATTGAAGGATTAGTTCTGACAGGATGGGAGGTTCCTATTTTTATCAATATTTCTTTGCAGTCATCTGGTCATTAGTACTCTTCCTGAAGTGGCTTCAAGAGCTCTCAGGGAGAATGCTAACGACCAGATGACTGCAAAGAAATATGATCTTTCCAACAAACCCCCCTCCACATCCTGTCAGAACTGATCCTTCCATCACCCCCACCATTCTACCAAGAACTGATAAAGCTTCTTGGACGAGAAGCAAAAGGTCTTTTTCTTCCTCAAAGAAAAAAAACAGTCCAGTTGCTGTTTGAAAAAATGCACCATTGAGAAAAGCGTACCACATCTCTTTATAGATGAATACCACACTTGTGGGAAAGGTGATCAAATATTTGCCGAGTAAGATCCAGTAGTATTGATACAGCGCAGTGACATTATATTCAGGTTCTTTACAGCTCATATATTCGGTATTTGATTCAACAAATACCAAGTTCTTCCCTCTTCTCTTTATTGCTTTTCACATCAGTAAAAATATTTGGGCTTTAAATAGGACCTGTGTGGCTGCATTTGCATCCTCTGAGCACTTTTGAAGGGTCTTTTTCAAAACTTCTCAGCAGATGTAAATGCAGTCAAGCAGCCTCAGGCATTCAATTGTCTGGTAATCTGTGTTCAAAAGAGAAACCTCTCAAGATGTCACCTTGCTCCACCATTTGGAAAACATTGAGCTTAAAAAAAAAACCATAGCAAGTGTACTCCTTTAATCCATGCTAGCAGTATGTTTCTCAGGGCTTCATTCAATCTCTTCTTGCAAAATTACTTGCAACAGAGCAGAAGCATTACTTTATTTATTTATGAAGTATCTTTCTTGCTTTTCATGATTAAAAAAATGATCCCAACATAGAGATATTGGTTAAAACAATACTCTATCTTCAGCATGTGAGGACTAGATACTACTATACTCCATAATGGGCCAAACAGTGATATGCATCAAGGGTTGTTTTCTGTTGCCCTGAACTTTGGAAATCTCCATCCTGCAGTATTCCTCAGTTTTGGTCATGCTACTTAGACTATTGGGCTGTTCGGGTTCCCCAACCTTTCTTTTATCTTAAAAAACTGTTTTTGGATATTTTTGAAACAAATTTCAGAATTTAGTTACCTCAAACTCTATTTTACCTTATGAAAAAGAAGTTGATGTCCATTACCTTGCTTTTGTGAGTTTTGTTGCCCACTGTGAGCAGGACAAAGGAAGAAGGTTCTCTTTCTATCTTCTGTCGTGTTTACAATTTTGAAATAAAAGACTGTATTAATAACAAGATAACATTCACAAGAGAACTAAAAGAGAGAAATAACATTTACTCAATTGTTTTAAAAAGATTGGAAGAAGGGTTAGAAGCCTAAACATGAATCAGAATTTAGTATACGTGTTATTCGGCATTTATACTTGGCAACCCCATATATATGTTGGATTTGTTTGCTGCCTTGAGTTATTTATAAAAATAATGGAGGCAGGAATGCAAGTAAGTAAATAAAGATTGCCTAATCTTTGTTTCAACATTGTTTCTACGTGCTCTGTGCTTTACTACATTTATTTCAAATATGTAGTATGAAATGGAAAGGCTGGGCCGATCTCCAGTCTATTTATGGTGCAACTGAGGTCAACTTGCCCGTTTTGACCATCTAGCTCAAGGTCAAAACAGGAAGGCAAGCAGACTGACAGCTCTACCCAATTTAACTGGGTTGAGAATTAGCCTCCACTTAACCAATGATGGCAGGAAAGTAGGTCATCTGTTCAGATGGATGCTCATAACCTGGCCTAGCTAGTTGCTGAGAATAGATTTTTCAGCCAGTGTGTTGGCTGGTCTCAGAACTGAAATCCTTGCCTGATACTGTACCAAACAGTATATCCATTGTAACTCATGTAGCCAATCTCTTGTATTCCCACTTTGCACAATTCTTGGCATTAAGTATGACTTTGGTCATTTTTGCACTTTGTACCCTTATTTTTTTTAAAAAAAAATTCTACTATTTATCAAATCCTTAATGTATTTAGTTCATTACCAACTCAGAAACCAGAGAAATTTACCTTGAGATATCTGTCTTTTCTGTATTTCTTTGTTACATGCTCACCGTTGGAATATTCCAATTGATTTTTCTACATTAGGAAAGGATTTTGAATGAAAAAGAAGTTTCAGAAAATTAAATGACATGACAGCGGAGGACTGTTTCCCCCCAGAAGGATTTTTGTAGGACTATTTTCTATCTGATCTGTTTTATGTGGGTTGATTGGCTTTGCATTGTTATGGTCCTGTTCTAGTGTCTGCTGCTTTTAATTTATTTTCACCTTTTTCAACTTAATATGTTTTCAAAATTAGTAAATCAATTGAAGGACAATCCAAGACAGGCTAATACTAATCAGGAATGAAAAGCGTACTAATGTTGCCAGAAATGAGAATCTTAGAAGACAGCTTGAAAAAACTAGCATGGATAAGCATCTAGTAGGGAAAAAGTCTTTCTACCAATGAAAGAAAGCTAAACTTCTGGATTATTGAAAATAGCAAGTGGTTGATGCCAATAACTTGGGAGATCCAAGACCGCTTGAATAAATTGTAGACCAAATAGGCAACGTGTGCCTTTCTTGAAGTTGCTGAAATACAACTAACAGCAGTCATTTTATACAGGGAGTGATAAACATCTGGGGGAATCTCTGAAAAACATATAAATCTTAGAAATCATATAATCAGTTCACTTCATAATATTTTGCAGTCTTTTTCATCTCCCTTGACTTGCTAATCAGATACCGTTAATTGTCTGCTTTGTTTTTTTAAACGTTGTTTCCAACTTCCAACAACATATAGGCATATATGTCATGCATTATATCCAATTTTGGCTAGGCAAGGCATGTCAGTTATATAGATGTGCTTTGTCACTGCAAACCACATCTTGTACAAATAGCAAGCATACTAAACTTGTAAATATTTAAGCTTGCGTTGCCAGAGAATATGTGGAAATGTTATTTATTTGGTTTACTTACAGGAAGGTTTAAAGCACTGTCCAAATACACGATAAGGATTCCAGTGGAAAGACCATTCTTACCCTAAAAACAAATAATTCCACAAAAAATTAATATATAAATGTGAACACTACAAATATTTCAAGGCCGTCCTCCATCCCCTAATAACCAGAGGATACTACAAACATTACCCAATGGTGTGATAGTACCCCAACTCCATAGAAATGCATGCAATCCTTGCCCAATCAATGCAACTGTATTTGCTATAGTGATGCTTTAAACATAGCTCTCAGAAGAAATTACACAAGAGGGCAGACACACTGGGCTATTTCTTTGTTCTGAATTCTTTCAGTTGTTTTGCAGCATATATTTCTTCTCAAGTCCCACAAAGCACTCACCTCACTAAGTTTCTCTTGATTGGTGACCAGAGAAAACCACTCGAGCTTTAAGTGGACATGCCCACTTGTTATCTTGCTCAAGGGAAACCACTTCACAAAAAGAAAGAAATCACATCAGTGCCAAAAATACGCATTAATTGCATCTTTATGTTGATCTATATTCAAGGAGAAATTGAGGAACTCATTTATCTTGATGTTTTATCTGCTTTGAGATGATACATCTTAAAGCCAGTTTCTTTTTAACTATTTGTTCCCTCAAAAAGGAAAAGCCGTGACTGCTGAAGCACAATCAGCCCTAATTTGAAAAATAGATGGAATTTAATTTACAATAAATGACAGTAGCCAAATAGATTATTTTCATGCTGCAAAAGGAAAAGATAGTCCTCCACCCTTTTTAGAAACTTTTGCTCAAGTTTGAGTCCTGCCAATGTTTTAGACACATCAGTATAACTGGCAACTATACGAAAGGGGCTTGTTTCAACGTCCCCTCCCCCGCAACACAATGTTTTCTCAGTTTGCAGCTCACCCCAAAAACCTGCAATGCTGTTTAATTTATCCTGAAAACCAAGTCAGCTGCCATTAAGAATTGGGGATCTTAAAAGGAAGAGGACAAGAAGGGGCTGAAACACATTCCTGAGGTTCTAGGAAACAAGATGGGATATAGAGAGGCTTCTCCTGATTCAATGGGACATAAGAGGGAGGAGCAATAAAGTACAATCAGGCCTATAAGATTCTGTTACAAATAATCCTTGATTTACTCCCATAATTGAGGCTGGAATTATGGTTGTAAGCTGTGCCGGTCATTAAGCAGATCAAGAGATGACTCTGCCCAATTTTATGTCCTTTTCTGTGGTAGTGTTTAGTAAATATGGCAGGTTGTAAAGCAGACACTTTAGTTGTAAAGCAAACGCTGCAGTTGTAAAGCACCATGGTCATTAAGCAAACTTATTGTCTATAATGTTCATTTTTGCTGGAAGCCAGAACTTCAAATAGTTGCTAAGTAGCCATTGTAAGTCAAGTACTACCTGTATTGTATGTATCCTGTCTCAATAAAGAATAGTTGTAGAATTCCTATGGAGTCTGTGATCTGATCTGGTCCCACTCCAAAGAGCTGACAGGTGCAACCTATCTGGGCCCTTTCCATGTTCTACTCAAAAGCAAATTGCTTCTCCGTTTAAATACTCTCAAAATGTTAAGTGTCCAGTTGATCCATTTAGTCTCTCAAGAAGCAAAATAAGATCAGTAATCATTGTACTACATGTGTACTCATTTACTTGATGGTGCAATGATTCTCGCACCGTTTTATCTGTATACTTGTACACATATATGTGGTACTTGTGGTGCCACAAACTTCAGTATAATGCAATTTCCCTTGAAAACCAATGCTGCCACAAAACTAATAATCTGTGGAGATATTATAAGACTCTGCAAAAAAAAATCTCTCCTATTTCACAGCCTATACAAACATTTTTAATTTCCCATAACAGCAATGAGAACTCACATGCCTCGGAAAAAAAACAACAGTCCTACTTAACGTTAACATTTAGTAAAACCCTATGTTTTTATAGCTGATAAGCCACTCATAAAATATGGCACACCTTTTAAAAACTACTGTGACACATGTTAAGCCAAAACCAAACTTACCTCGTCAACAATTTTATCTTTCATCACATCTACAAGGTTTATAACCAAGCTGTGAAAAAATAAAAGAAATCACACAAAGGAAATCCCTTGGGATAGCTGTATTTGTTTTCATAATGAATAGCTATCATATGCTGCTATGGAGACTTATAGCGCCTTATACTGAACTGTGATTTTTTTTTTTTAATTATAGTGCATCCTGGAGTTTCATGAAATACTCTGGCTTCCAATCTGTGAACAAATTTCAAAAGAATCTTGTAGATTCTAATAACTTAATTTACTAATAAAACAATCTGGGGTGACAAACACCCAGAACCAACTGATATTTTAGTGACTTTTTTCTAGAGCAGAATGTTACATGAAAAAGTACTGTTTAGGCTCAACTTCAATATGCAATATGTACATTAAAAAATAAAATGTATAATTCTTCTTGCGATTGTACAACACACATTGGAGGAATAGATCTTTTTTATATCAAAAGTTGTGCTTTTTCGTAACGGTCAGTAAATCAAAAGATGAGCTGGAACTAATTCATCCCCAACATTATACTTCTTTATGATGACTTTTTTTGAAGCAGGATCATTCAGACATGCAGTACACTACCTCAGGGGTGGGATTCTACCAGTTCGCACCTATTCGCTCGAACCGGTTGTTAACATTCTAAGCAGTTTGGAGAACTGGTTGTTAGAAGAAATTACTGGCCTAATCCTGTAAGGAAGGCAGGAAGGAAACGTTCTGGTGTTGCTTACAGAAACTGCCTCTCCGTTAACCCTTATTATATTCTTGGCAGGACTAGAATTTCTGTCTCAGGAACTTCTCTGGAGTTTTTTCCCCCTCCTTTGCTGGTACTTTGCTTGTGTGGAGTGACCATTCAAAGTTACAATGGCACTGAAAAAAGTGACTTATGACCGTTTTTCACACTTACAACTGTTGCAGCATCCCACAGTCATGAGAGGCCAGACGAGGAGATGCATGCCTCAGTGTGAGTGATATTGAGATGGCCACACCCTGCCAATAACATGACCACCAAGCCATGTCCACCACCTAAGCCACGCCCACAGAACCAGTTGTTAAAATTTTTGAATCCCACCCCTGCTCTACCTGCATTCAGTTATACAAAAATCAGAAATGTTCTCTGCTTCTGAATGCACAGAAATGACCATACCAGTTTCATTGGGTCTAAGTTGCCATATGGTAGAAAAAGACACAGTATAATATTGCACACATAAAAAAGGAAATCTGTATTCCTGACCTGCCCAAAAAATCATCTTTATCTGGATCTTCATCATAAAGATCAACTTCTAGATCTTGGCCAGGTACCTCATGAACAACAAACTGAAATGAATGAAAGAAAAATTAAGTAATAAAAGAGAGCAGCTAGGAGTTATTTTTTGAAAAATGCCACTACGTAAGGTAAAAAGTGTTTCAGTTCTTCTGGGTAGGACATTAAATTAAAAGTCTTACACCTAAAATGGTGGAAGAATCAAATTTATCTTCATGTTCTTTATAATCAATTAAATTGAGGTGAGGTGTAATAAGGAGCAATGTTTTTTTCCGAAACAGAATTCAATTCATTATAAGAAAAAATATTAAAGGAACCACTAATGCATAAACAGACTTCTTGGTGAAACAACAGCAACAAAGAACTCTTTCAAATATTCTTTAATTTATTATACTGGTTTAACTGAAACGCTTTTTTCAAGAGAGCTTCATGAAAAAGCCTTTCAAATAGCCTTTCTCTCACTCTCTTTAAAATACAACAGGACAAAGTGGACAATATTTAGAATGTTTTTTTTCCTTTTGTAAATTAGTTTTCCATTATTCCGGTAAACTGTTTGGTCCTGTAAAATAGTTTGCAATTAATCCATGTGTGTTGCTGGCAACGAGACATATATTTTAATGACTTTTAGATGCTTAGGGCTACAACGCCCTTAGACATGAAACAAAATGGCTGACATTCAGGGATTCTGGGAGCTGCAGTCAGAATAACTAAAAAAAAAAATTGGTTGCCTATTCCTGTTGAAATACTGTTTCCTCAATCACTTGATTAGATTTCTTAGTCAAACTATTTACAGAAACAAAAAGTCTTCTTTTAGAACACATTTAGTTTCAAAGGTACATTAAGATAGTTTGTACTCCTATATTCACTTACCAGGGGAAAAAAAAAACCCCTTCCCCTACATTCTGCGGGGCTTAATTTGGAGAATGCATATATAGAATTGTTGCTAATATATGCAAAACTCCAGACACAACCACCCAGCTGTTTCAGCATTAGGACCTGATCTAGTGTAATGTGACTCAACTTCCACAATAATTCGGTTTTTTATTTCTCCTTTTCTCCCTTGCACTCTCTGAGATATGTACCATCTCAAACCTGCTACATAAGATTTAGGAAGTGGGATATATTGCAAATAATCCCCAAAACTTTGTTTCTAAATAGGCAAAGAGAAGTATCACCTCAAACATTTCATTCCAGATTGGATTCAGGTCTCTTTGTATTGTTTTGCTCCGGAGTTGTACCAGGCCGACACGAAGGAGAGCATAAGGGTCTGATTTGCCCCTAATTGCTCCAAGGAAGTTGTCTTTTTGGACAAGATTTTCGGCTTCCAAAAGATGCACTCTTAGGACTCCCTTTAAAAAAAATACAATTGTTAAATATTACATGGAATCTTTATCCCAGAGGATCTCTCTGGTATATACTATTATCAACATAACATTAAGGAAAACGGGGGATGTCTCTAACCACAACCCACAGAAGCTTAAATTAAATGAGTTAAATTCAACTTAAATGAGATTTGCCAGTAGAACATTTAAATCTATTAGAAGAATCTATGTTGTTATTTTGCATTTAGCTTTTATTATGAGCCTTTCATCAATCTCTGATCTTTCTTTGTGCCTCTTATTATGATGGATAAAGAGAGAAGCCAATTAGTTTGCTTTTGATGATTCTCTGGTGAAATGGATTGGGGGGAATGGGATGGGACACACACACAAGCCCCCTTTTTACAATCTTTTGTAAATTTAAATCATCTATCAAAATAAATCTGCACTAGCTATAACTCTACTATGTATTTATAGAGCTTCATTTATTCTGAACTGATTTCCACCAGGCCATTGTCTGCTCAAAAATTCTCCTCAAATCAGGATGGGTTTTTTTTAATCAAAAGGAAGTTTTTTCAAACTTTTTAAGGTTTTGTGATATTCTGGATAGAGATTGAAAAGAGATGAATAGGCAAACACCAACTATTAGATAAGGCAAATAGATAAAACTTTGCTTTACAATTTTCTCCCCACTGTGGTGATTCAAATACAAGCATAGGGCATGTTTGCATGTTTGCAATCTCCCTGTCAAATGTCACTACACTGCAGGTGTGTAGAATGAACAAGTTAGAGAAAGCCTCATCCTTTAGAAGATTTTTTGTATATTTTGACCCAGGTGCCTCACTAACAAGTCTTCAAAGCGCAACTCTGACCCCAGACTTACACGTGGAATAGGAAACCGCAACTGAGCCACATTCATGTTCTTTTTCAATGGGACTGTGAGTCTATTTGGCAACACCAATCGGGCAGCAATGAGATCTTGAATTAGCGAGTCTGACAATAAACTGAAATAATAAGAGAGACATTGAATTCAAAACAAACCGCAAGAGTCATATGTGTGTCACGCTGCTCTATTGAGTTTGTGATTCTTGTATTATTTGTGGACTCCATCTTAGTGGACTGCCAAAGTCTGTCACCTGTCAAGAGATTTGGAATGCAGGGCAGTGGGGAGTAGAAGGGGTACATGCTCAAGTTTATTTTCAGTCTGAGAGTTTAGGATGCTTTGTTACAAACAGGTAAGTCATTTAAGACAAAATATATTGACTGCTGAAAAAAACATAGAAAACCAGATTATTTACTGATGTGCAGATAAACCTGAGCTAGTTATGCCTCTTATATTACCCCTTCAAGTTACACTTGACTCTAGCAAGTGCCTGAACAAGTTCCTGCTGTTTTCTTGGCAAGATTTTCAGAAGTAACTTGTACTTGTCTTGTTCCTAGAAGACAGAGGACCAATCAGCCAGCTGGCTTTGTGCTAAAGGTGGGACTAGAACTCAATGTTCTGGATTCTAAGCTGGTGCTTTAACCACTATACAAGTGTTTCTCAACCTTGGCAACTTGAAGAGGTGTGGATTTCAAATCCCAGATGTTATATTGCCAGCTGACTTTCTGCATACCAGATCTATATCCACTCTCATCTCATGTTAAGTTCTTTTATTTCAACAGCTTTTATTTTCCTTATCCGTAAGTGTAAAACCAAACTCCTAACCCCACCAAATCCACAGGTAATTATTTTTGGGAAGCAAAAACTCTTCTTGTGGGGTAAGAACAATATTTGCCCTTCATTTAAATAACCAAACCAAAATCAATACAAAGAAACATAAACACTCAAAGACATCTTTATTAGCAGGCAGCCCAAAAACAAACATTGAGATTTTCAAAACCTCAACAGAATCAAATAGTGAATTTTCCTATGGCGTGACCATTTCCTTTAGTTACTATTGACATTACTTTTGTGGTGACACAAGGTGTGGTAAATTAGCAAAGCAAGCCAAACTCCCATTAGAAACCAAGTAGTTCAAATGGTTCTGACGTTTCTAACTAGAATTACAAAGAAATTAAGAATCTATAAGAATTTTACCAGCAGGCTTGTGGTGTGGTCAGTTTTTATGCCTCTACTTGTTGGAATGTCTGTGAAGGACATAGGTTCTGTTTGATTGACCCTGTGCTTACCCACAATAAGCCATTCCTATCATATGAATCAGGGGTGGGATTCTACCGGTTCGCACCTATTCACTAGAACCGGTTGTTAACATTCTAAGCAGTTTGGAGAACTGGTTGTTAGAAGAAATTACTGGCCTAATCCTGTAAGGAAGGCAGGAAGGAAACATTCTGGTGTTGCTTACAGAAACTGCCTCTCCATTAACCCTTATTACATTCTTGGCAGGACTAGACTTCCTGTCTCAGGAACTTCTCTGGAGTTTTTTTCCGCTCCTTTGCTGGTACTTTGCTTGTGTGGAGTGACCATTCAAAGTTACAATGGCACTGAAAAAAGTGACTTATAACCATTTTTCACACTTACGACTATTGCAGCATCTCCACAGTCATGAGAGGCCAGGTGAGGAGATGTGAGTGATGTTGAGTTGGCCATGCCCAGCCAGTCACATTACCACCAACTAAGCCACACCCACAGAACCGGTTGTTAAAAAAATTGATATAACTGTCATATAACACCTCTTTTGTTTAATCTCCAATTTGAGATTTTATTTATTTGATATTATTGTTTATAAATAATTCAAGGTTGTAAACGTTCTTAATACACCTTTCTCCCCCTGACAACAACAATCCTATGAGGTGGGTTGGGCCGAGAATGACTATCCAAAGTTATCCAGCTGTTTTTTCATATCTAAGGCAGGACTAGAACTCACAATCTCCCTGTAACTAGGACGGCAAATAAACCACTAGATGAAATTGGGTCTTTAACATTTAGATCATTCCCAGCTCATTTGGAAGGAAGCACTTACCTAATGCCTGGAGCATCCAACAGGTTTGTTAGCCCCGCCCAATTGATTTCCAGGTGCTGTAATAAGAATTAAAGCAACAGCAAAAGTGCAAGGTTAATAACTGAACATAGAGCTGATTTAAACTAGTTTACATCAAATTAGATGCATGGTCCATTGAGATCCTATTGGAGATACCAGAAAAAGAACCTGCAATCTTTTCTTGATGCATATAGTATACTATTGAAAAAGTCAAGAATATTGAGTACAATAAAATAATCATAATTATAACAATAAAATGATTCAAACAGTTGACAACTTCATTCACCTGATATACTTATGGTATTTTAATTCAGCATGAGTATTGTGTGGCCATTCTGAAAGAGTTCAGACTGTCAACCAAACAAGCCTTGAGGAATTATGAGGTCATTTCTATTACCCATCCATTATAAAAGGCATTTTGGCTACTGCTACAAGTTCCATGAGGAAGAAAACTAACCACCTAGCAAGGCAGCCTCAGGGCAGGAAGGTACGTGAATGATTTGTGTTCAAAGGAGATAAATAAGCATCATCAAGGCCTTGATTCATTTCCTTCACTGGAGCCTGTCACACTGACTGGATTTTTCTCATGCCATTGCAATGAAGGGGTGAGACAATCGGCATATGTCAACGTTCTAAACTTAACACATGTTTGTCAGATGTATATACTTGGCCAGAACTCACATAGCTAGTTTCAGGAATAACAGTGCACTCTGAGTGCTGAATTATCATAGCAATGCAGGGACCTTCTCTCCTGCTTCCTCTATGCAGTTGGAGATGACTACCAAGAGTTCAGAGACTTCTTCCATGAATGAATCCTCCTGTACAATAAAACATCTCTTTCAATGCTTCAGCCTTCTGAATTTTAACTCTGATTTTTGTTTTTCCTTGTAATTTGTTTTTCCTTTAATTTGTTTTTAACTCTGTTTTCGAAGTGCGTTTGATTCATGTGTTTATATGGTTTTATTATAGTGCTGAAACCACCCAAAGTCACTTAAATAAATTGGGTGGTGTAGAAATTGAATCAATAAATACAAATAAATAAACAAATGCAGCACATAGATAAAAATGGTGTCCGAACATGCAAGGCTGTGAAATTTTAGTGCAACGGGGCAGAGAGGAGTCTGAAGATTCTTAAGCCAAAGGAACCTTTTGAACTAATACTATTTTTTTCCCTAGGATTTAAAATAATCGAAAAGTTAGAGTGGCACTATATGAAAGCTGTGATCTTATGCATATTTGTGTGATAATAAAGTGTTTCGGGTGATGCTTTCCTCTTATCATCCTGTGCTTATGTACATAGGCTGTATGTTAATCAAAATAGACTACTGATAGATTTGCAGATTAGTTGGCTTTTGTGACCTCACCTAATACTGTTCAAGTACCTAAGACCAATTTTCTTTCCATACCACAGTATTAATTTACAATGGTATAGCAATTTACTGTGACAGTGTACTGATCATTTGGGTGGGAGGGAAGGAAAGAGGGAGGGAGGGAGGAGAAAAGAAAGAAGGGACAAAAATTAAAAATTTTTTGCTACTGAACTTTGTTTAAGGTCCTTCAACCTTGAAGACATAGTCCAGGGACTTGGGGAAGGCACTAACCATTAAGAGTAGAAGTTGTGTAAGATGGAATGAAATACACTCATTAGATAAATTGGTCTACACTATTTTCACCAACATAGAGAAAAACAAAATCTCCTTTAATAAAAGTAAGAAAACTGGGGTAGAAGTTGCTTTCTCAATAGGTTAGGGATGGACTGAGGCAGCGGTAATGCAATGCAGCTCACCTGAAATGACTTATTTTCATCCTGAGGCAACCTGGCAGCACACATGTCCTTTTGGAAATGGTTTCAGATCTGTGAAACTCATGCTGAAGAAACATGTGGTTGGTTTAATGTTCATTTATTTAGATGGGTCTCGAAAGCCCATTTGGTGCTTGAAAATTATCCTGAATATAAATCTTTACTACTACTATTAAAAGTTGGGTTAATTACTTTTAACTAGTTTCATTTTACGGTTGCATAATAAGGGTTGCGTAATATTCTAAATTGTGCCAATTTTATTCCTTAAAGTTTTCGTGGTTTTATTTCTATCGATGAGCTATCATGGAGGGTACTTTCTTGAAAAGCTACAGTGAAATATTTGGAGTTAAATTCACTGAACTTATTGAATACTATTATATTTGAATAGTAAAATGCTGGCATATTTTAAACCCATCTTCCTGTTTGGTTTGGTATTCTTTGTTTAAAATGATGTCTGGGAAGAAGAAATAATCTTCCACATTTTAGAAGCACATTCTCAATTTTATTATAAAACACACTGACCAATGTGTACATCAGCAATCTTAATGTGGAAGGACACTATTTCTAAATTGGCAAAACATGAAGAGTGCTAAGTTGTTAATTTGACTTACAAATTAGAGGTCTTTTCATAAAATTTGTTAGTTGGAAAATGTGCTACCAGACTCCTGGTTAGTCTGCCACCACAGACTAACACAGCTGTCCTCCTATTTCTATAATGGTTTATCTGTATTAGAATTGACTTACAGGTTTCTGAAGAAAAAACATGGTTACAGCTCCAAAAAAGGGTATATCTGTCAGAAGGGGCTCCAGAATTATTCGTAATGTTCCGTACAACTGCAAAAATTAAAAAATATTAAAAAATGAAGGAAATAATATTGTTTTTTTCCCAGGAAGGAAAATAAAGGAAATATCTAAAAATGCTTCATAAAGTTGTTCTGTACTTACCTGTAGCCCTTTCACTCCTACTTTAAGCTTGGAGATTTCCATGTGAATTTCACAATCCCCTATATAACTGAAAAAATATTACAATTAGCAGGATATTAATTAAAAAAAATAAAGAACAAATTAAAAGACAAAACGTTCAGTCTTTTCTTATCATTTTAAAGGAATTTCTTATATTGTAATAGTATCAGATGAAGACAAAACTCTGATTAAAAAGATATTGTTTCTTCAACAATACGGCCTCCCCCAATAGGAAGGCCCAGCATGATTTCTAGGCATGAGGTGAAATTAAGCCCCGCCCCCCAAATTTAGGCCTATTTAACCATGCGTTTCCCTGCCGTTTCTCACATCATTCGTTAGAACTACATGAAGTGAAGAGAAATGGGGGGGAAGGGCGGAGGTGGGGGGGGAAAAAACTTGCCTTTAGGAGTGCCCTGCAGGTAGCCTAGGCTAGAATACCCCGATAGCCAATAGAAGCTCCCTGAAGGCAGAGTCCCCAGCCGCTTCAGGGCGTGGCGTGGCGTGGCTGCCCATGTCCCCTCCCCTTTAGGCAGTCTCTTTCGGGCGATGAAAGTTCCCCAAGTGCAGTCACCAGCCACTTTGATCGGCCGGTAGAAGCGGCCTCGGGGCGAGCGCACACACACATTCCCTCACCACGAGGCCACTTCTATCGGCAGATTGAAGTGGCTGGTGACTGCACTTGGGGAGCTTCCATCGCCCGAAAGAGACTGCCTAAAGGGGAGGGGACATCGCCCAAAAGAGACTGCCTAAAGGCGCAGTCCACCCTGAAGTGGCTGGGGACTCTGCCTTTGGGAAGCTTTTGTCAGCCGATAGAAGCGGCCTCACGGTGAGGGGAGTGTATGTGTAAGCTCGACCCGAGGCCGCTTCTACCGGCCAATCAAAGTGGCTGGTGACTGCACTTGGGGAGCTTCCATCATCCAAAAGAGACTGCCTAAAGGCAAGGGGACACGGGCAGCCACGCCACGCCCCGAAGCAGCTGGGGACTCTGCCTTCAGGGAGCTTTCATCAGCCGATAGAAGTGGCCTCGCGGTGAGGTACGTGCGTATGGGCTGCTCTAGGTTGGGGTGGAAATTAAGTCACCCCTGAAAAAATGGCCTAGCCGTTTTTCGGGGGTCACAAAAAAAAAAAAAAGGCCCGGCCTTATTTTGTGAGAAACACGGTATTTTTCTACTACATATAAATACCATAATGTTTATTCAGGTTAAAGTATTTACATTGGAATAAGATTAACATTGCTTAATAATATGAAATAATATGAAATTCTGCAAATTATAACTCCTATTCCTGCTCCTTAGCCTCTCAATAAATTTTGCAGAGAATTTGTAACAGGAATAGCAGTTCACACCTAAAATACTTAAGAAAGGTCACTCACTGGTTAACCAAAGTTTCAAATCTTTAAACTGTTTGTAACATTAAGAATGAATGCACATAAGTTTATATTGATTACTTCAACTGATTGCAGTTAAACAGTAAGTGTTGATCAATACGATTCTTGCTGCTTGAAGGCAACACAACTAATTTGTTTGGATAGCAAGGTAGGTGGCATAATCAATCAATCAATCACCAGTATGTTGTTTCTTACCAATTCCATGTTACAAAAACCCCAATTGTAATGAGCTTTCATACACAACAGTTCTTCCCTTGTGGAGATAACAAGATAACTATCAAGTGTGAACTTTTAAATTTGTGTAATAGGAACATTTGGGAATCCAAAAACACAAATTGTAATAAATATAACACTACCTTACAGCCAAGCCCAAAAATCTCCTTTAGATTTTAATTTTTCCAATGGAATGGAATGTCCAATTGAATGATTCCAAATAGTTTGGCCAAAAATGTAGCTCAAATAAGCAGCTTCCTACCTCCAGTTCTTTGCCTGTTCCCTTCAAAAGTTTTGATCTAAGTACTGAGCTATTTCTGGTCACATCAGTTTTACTTTCAATCTTTGCTAGTAACGCACTGTCATGTCAAAATGAAATATGGAAAGCATTTGCAAAATAGAAGCTAAGTCAAATTTAGTTGACCTAATGTCACAAAATCTTGGAACTGTTTAAAATAAATATGCATTTCCTGTGTAATCCCTTCTGCTGTCTAAAGGTTTGATAGATGTCACATTTCTGCTTTCAAACTGTTTTTGCATTAACCATGCTTATTCTACTCCTGTAGCCTTCTAGTGTGTAAAAAGCTCTACTTAAGTCCGTATTGTTATCACTCTTAAGGAGAGACCATATGGTGGGACCCAGAAGAAGGTCAAAAGCTTTCTCCATGGTGGCTCATTCATGAGGAGATTAGATTGGCCCTCACTTTGACATTCTTTCACAAGGCCCTGAAGTCCCGGGAAACCCAGAGTAGGATGGAACCCATCAAGTGTTACCACAGGTTATAGTTTTTCTTTGTTTTGTATATCGGGTTTTTATTTTTGTAAGCCAGCCAGAGTCACTGAGAGTGAGTGGGTGGCCACACAAATTGTCTTAAATAATTAAATAAACCTTTCCTTGGCCTTTGATTGGGTGGCTAAAAGAAGCCAGTAGCCAAAGAATGAGTAAGGTGGGGGAAAGGGATGTTTAATTAAGTTTAATGTTTTTATTAACAGTTAACACTTAATCCAAGAAAGGAGATTTCAAGAATTCTGAGTAACGGCAACTATAAGAAAGTAGGCAAATATACAGGAATTCTAGATGAGGGGTCGCCAACCTTTTAGACTTCAGGGGCCACCAAACTCATAATTTTAAATCCCGTGGACCAGAGACCCTGGGAAAATTCCCCCAAATATCTGCAGGAAAATTCCCAACCCCGTTTTCCTACCAATCTATCATTCTTTATTTGGGATCACAGGATACCATCTCCAGCTCCGTTCTCAGGGGGGGGGGAGAGAGAGAGAGAGAGAGAGAGAGAGACCTTCGGCTTCATGCAAGGAAAGCAGCAGAAGCAGCAGAAGTCTTTCTTTCTCTCCCCCAAACTCCACCAGAAATGAGTCTTTGTGAGATTTGTTGCACCGGCGCACCTCTTGGAGCAGGATGCTTTGCAGGGTTCCAAAGACTCATTTTTGGCGGAGTTTGGGGGAGAGAAAGAAAGACTCTTGCTGCTTTTCTTGCATGCAACCAAAAGCAGAAGAAGAAAGAAGCAGAAAGAAGCAGCCCGGTGGCCAGGCCAGGCGCATGGAGCAAGTTCCCCCCTGTCCTTCCCCCCTCTCCTCACTACTTTGTGTTGTTCGCAGTGCAAGCAACACAAGCCTTGTGTTCCTGCAGGCCATATGGGCAGCGCAGCCTTGTGTTACCACACAGCCTGGATTAGTTGCTTTGGGGGTGACATTTCTCTGTGGACCACCAAAATTTTCTCATGGACCACCAGTGGTCCCCGGCCCACTGGTTGGTGACCACTGTTCTAGATAGTACTCTACTTTCAACTGAGACATCTAATTTAAATCTTGGCAGCAAAACTTCCCACTTTTTCAATTCTTTTCCAAAGATGAGATATCTGTTATTTGTATGCGAAATAATTTTAATTGTTAAAATTAAAATTATTAGTATTACTCTATGTATTTAAAATTTTTCTCTTTCCCATTAAAAAAAAACCACAATCTGGTGGCAACTTTGGTCAAGCCTACAAAAACCACACCCAAAAGCTTGGAGAAGTGCATCCCAGTACAAAAGAAAAGATTTTCCCCTGTACTACCTCTTCTAGGAAAGGTTCTACAAAACAAATATGCATCCTATTTCATAAGACTGCATGAAAAGGAAATTCCGCTGTGCTGAATGCCATTAAAGTTAGTTCTCCATCTTCAAGCAGTGAGAATTAGATCACATTACCGATGCAAAGAACAAGGACATATGGCATGTGGCCATATAATAACTTGTGGATCACCAAATGTAATGTGACTCAATGAGTTAACACCACAAATATTTAGGCACTTTTCACAAATATTTGAACAAGGCAATATTTAGAGATTATGCAAACCAAATAGAAAGCCAGTTATAGGTGACAACACACTCAAGTATATAGTGTAGGTAGCTATAAATATTGCACTTGCCGGTCTAATAATCTAAACTATTTAAGATAAGCAAGTATTGCAATGCGATAAAGTACCATAAATAATGAAAAAACAACAACCTATAATGCTGCTCTAAGAGGATGCTGATGTTTGTCATGTCGCCCCCATATTTTCATATTAGCAACATGCACTTCATCTCCCTGACAGGAGATAGGAAGGAACTAAAACAGCAATGAGTCAAGGAAGCAATGTGGACGGTGCATAAGAAGGTGGCTTGAAGATTTGAATAGCTCCACCTTTTTTCTCAGAAGCGGAGGAAGAACTCAGCACATACTCCCAATCAACGTGTCCTCCGGGATACCTAACTAGATGAGCTGGTTTTGAATCCTTCCCCCTCGACTAGGCATCTCTCTGTGAATCATGCAGGATTGTGGATTCCTGTCAAACAAGACAGGTCTATTTACAATGGAAAACTACCTCCTCACTCAAACTCTTAAGTGGGAAAACACCCATATGACCTTTTCATAAAAGGAGCCAGAAGAGAAATACTGTAGCTATCCAGTGCTAACCCAGCTTTCTCCTACAGCTAAATATATTACTCTCCTGAAGTATTTTAACAATGCATGTTATAAAGAGGAGGTTCAAAAGTATTCAGGCAATACTTAGCTAAACATGGCTTTATTGAGTTCAATGCTTTTATATACTCAAGGCACCCAAAGACATAAACATACAATATCAGAGATTCTTACATTCCGAAATGTTAAAGGGAAATGGGATTGTCCGCTACTATATTACTATTTACTAATAATTACGTGCCCAATCATTATTCTATTTCTAGACAGAACCCAATAAACTTTTCACATCAGAAGTACCAATTTTTGCTATGTTCATAGTGAATACCATACCTAAGATATTTTTCAATGATTCTGTTTTTGTTTCAAGATATTCATGACATCTTGGTTTAATCAGATGCATATTCTCTGCTAAATATAGACTATGTTGAACAAACTGCAGGCATCCAATCAGGGTTTTTTTCCTATAAATATAGCCTGCGATCATTATCCTTCCTGGATGGTCTCAACCTAAGTTTCTCCATTTGAAGCAAATATTCATCTTTATTCATTTGTTTGCATGGTGGACATTTAGAGAAACACCAGTCTAAACTCATGTCATGATAAATGTACCTTTGCAGGTTCATATACTCTGCATGAGGTCATGCATTAGTTGCCTCTATTACATTTTTATAGCATCATTTTAGGAAAAGCAAAGCGATGACTGTTAGCAACCAGGTGCACAGAAAAATTCACTATTCACTGCTTATTAGTGAAGCCAATTGTGCCCTTTCCCAATGATAAACCATAGGAAACAATGCAGTTATATGCTACCATATTTGCAAGTCCAGGATTACTTGTCTTCGATCAACTTCTTTGGTATAGGTTTTCACTCCTTTAATTTTAGGGCACTGAAAGCAAAGCATGCAGCAGTATTATTGATACAGCAATGAGAAATATATCAATAAGAAAGCCTCATTTATCTTAGCACAAATATAACAACCATACGTCAAGCTTGAGCTATCATAATTTTAAAAAATCTGCAGAAAGAAACAAAATAACGGGCAGGAGAGAAAGATTACAGAATATTTTCTAATCTGCTACCCTTCAGAAGTATTGCAACTAAACCTGATATCATTTTCAGTCACCAGGGAGTTGAAGGATTGTTCCCCAATACTTCTGGGAGGCATCATTTGGGGGAAGGCTATACTGCAGCCATTAAGTTTGCATTTTAAAATTCGGCCAGCTAAAAATGTTAGCTGTTGAATCAAAAGGAAGGGAGGCATCCAAAATTTAAAAGCTTGCTAAGCAAACAGAAAATCAGATTCCAATTTAAGACTACTGAACAAAATTAAGACATTAATTGAATTGATAATGCAAAGCATTTTCTTTCAAAAGTATTGTGTGCATTTTTAAAATTCCCAACAAAGCAAAGGATCTTTGGTTTTTTATATTAATAAAATCAGGTACTAAGTGAATAATGATTGGAAAGAGCTTTTTTTTTTACCACTGATAACCACTATAAATACAGACAATTTGACAATAATTACATATTCAGAACAGGGTGGGAGAAAACATCATAAGAATAGTTCAGAGGACTGCCTTCTATTAGGAGTTAGATTTTTAAGTTGGTGCATCTTTTTGCTATCTTTTTATACTAGCATCTTGTGGACCATCAAGTACAATCTGAAAGATTCTCAGAACAAATACTTACTTTGAATAAAACGGACAAAAATTCACAATCCTTTTGCACAAACATCTACTCTTTGTTACCCTACCTACACTTTCAGTTGAGTAACTATCTTTCAGTTGAGTAACTTAAGGAATGGGTTTGAACAAGATCATTTTATTATAGCTATTATTAATAAAGTGAATGTCAGAAATCATTGTATCGCATATAATCAGAAATTAATAAATAGATCCAGATCTATTTTAAGCCTACATGCACACAGAAAATACACTCATGAAAAACTCGTCTGGATGTGGCAGTCATTTTCAAACATCACCTTACCTTATCTCCAAGGTGGATTTTAGTAAATGTACATGTTTTCAGATGTACATTCTTTCCTCTGATTTTGGGTTCAAGGATTTCCTTAAATGTCTTTTCCATAATTGCTCCAAAATAGGGCCAGAATTGTTCAACAATCTAGTTATAAAAGAATAAAAGGCTAAAATCACCACTTGTATATTACCGTTGTTTACCACTTTTATTTTGAAGATAGAATGCCAACTTTGTAAGTATCTTTATGTTTCTAAAGTGATAGAACATACACTCTTTAGATGAAAACGAGCAGATTAGATATTGTGGAATTTCTGAATTCAATTTGATAGTCGTGGCATATTACACACCAGAGTTAACAGTAGCTGGGGGAAAAAAGTGCATAATTGATGTGGCAATACCAGGGGATAGTAGAATAGAAGACAAAGAATTGGAGAAGACCACGAAGTATCAAGATATGAAAATAAAAGCTGAATGATTATGGGGATGATCTCAGTGATTATTGGCATACTGGTACCATACCAAAAAATATTGAACAGCACTTAGAAAACCTGCACATTTACAAAATTTCCATCTGTCAATTATAAAAGGCCCAAAAGCCACCTGATTGGATCCACACATATTAACAATGATATATCACAACAATCTAGATTCTTGGGAAGAACTGGATGTGTATGAAGGCCAACACCAGAAAAAGAACCAATAGATTTCACATTGTTGGGACAAGATTAGAAGATTCAGAAAAATGATTTTCAAAACACACATTTGACAATACTGCTTTAATTTAAGCTGTGAATTAGATTTCCTCATGATTTCCCAAAGTACTGAATAATTTTCACCCCAAGCATGATCTCTCTCTTTCTTTCTATTCTATTCAATATTTCATTTTTTCTTCCAAATCTAATATGCAAATCTTACTACTTGGACATAAGGGCATTTCATCCTATATGTCATACAAGATCAAAGTCTGGTGCTAATGACAACTCTTCCAGTTTCCTGGAAATTTACTGCAGTTTGACTAACACTGAAGATATTGTAGATTTGGGCCGGCAACAATTACAGGATAATTGTCAGTTTTATCAAGATCTGCCTAAGAGATTTCAGTGCTGAGCATACATTATAACATAAATGCTACAGCTAGTTGGTTTTGGTAACAAAGATTGCTACACAATTTATTTTGGAGAGAACCCGGCAAAGGCATGTGGCAGTGTTTTTCCTTCAGCGGAAGAGAATTTTGATCAAACTTCAGGGCAAACCCTGAGCATGATACAAATGATACCCAACTTATCCCAGCCACTTAACTAGAGCAAACAAGCTTATTCACGGTTGATTCAACAGCCAAGTTACAAAGCAAACTTTGAAGCAGAAACATTTCAGCCTTACGTTAATCATATAAAAGCTCCTTTCATATCCAACGCCTTACCTTGTTCAGCCATTCTACCCGTTCAACATCTGGGAAGTGCACCTGGAAAGCAAGGCAAAGAAGAAACAGGTGAAAACCGATTGGACTCTGAGAATTAATATGCAAGATGCAAGTAAAGTGACAGGACTAACGAAGGACTATTATAAAGTCTGATATAGAGCATGATTCTGTAGCAATATCAAAAGTGTCCCCACAAAATATATTTCATTTTCAGATTTATATGGAAGATAAGATTAATTCAACTCAAAGAAAGAGCTATAGTTTTGTAGTAGAGGGCAACATTTTATGTACAAGCAAGCTAATGTCTGTTTTTCTGTTTATTATCTTGATGTTGAGGGGGCTGCTTTTTATTTTATGGGAACTTGATTATTAGTTGCCCATAGCCTCCAGAAACAGGGAAAGGAAGGAAGGAAGGAAGGAAGGAAGGAAGGAAGGAAGGAAGGAAGGAAAGAAAGAAAGAAAGAAAGAAAGAAAGAAAGAAAGAAAGAAAGAAAGAGAAAGAAATTTGTGGTACTTCCAGTTAAAAGTCAATTAAGCAATACTTCTGAAAACATTATTTTTGTTTTTCTGTCTGACAGCTTCTTCTTCTGAGAATAGTCAATTGGAGTAGGTCAACCAACTATTCAAGAATCACAATAAAGGCATCTACAGAAGCCCACAATTATACCTAACATGCAATCCAAGTTCTCACACATTTCAGGGTGGAGATCACTGAAATACTGGGATTTCTTTACCTTCAATTTTTGTCACTCACACTAATGTGAAATAAAGCGATTTATTTCACCTTGTTAGCTTTATGCTAACTCTTCATAGTAAACCAGATTTATTTTACAGATAAAATTTGCTCACCTCCTCAGCTTATTAAAATTATGACCAACAATAAAGGCCTATTTCGTATTTACATCTTAAGATAATGCTGGTAAGTGGAATTGCTTTTCCCTAAAGACTGTGAGCAAATATCTTAATTAAAAGGGCCATACATTTTTTTAAAAAAAGAACCACTGTAGAATTAACTGGAAGTCTGATCTAAATTAAGATTAGAGGGTAACATTTTTGCTGTTAATTGTATTAAATATTACAATTAACTAATTGTTATTTCAGCTTTCTAAGGGTCACGTACCTCATTATTAAACAAACGTATGTAACTTTAAAAACAAAAAGGGTAAAATATCAACTTTTATAAATAAAAAAAATATTTCTAAACATGATAACATTCCTACATGGCATGTACTTCTTAGTTGAGTGGATGATGATAATAGTATGCTGGCTTACAAGTACTCTCTAAATTAGAGAACCTAGTTAACATAGAATAGTCTGAGCATGCTCAGGATCAATTAGGCTTTGACTGTGCCTGTCACATACTAACCCCAAAACTGACAAATTTTCCTGCTTTGTGTCCTTAACATTAAAAGGGAATGCTGTGTATTGCACAGGTACAACTAAGGCTGATAACTGCCTTACTAAAAAGCATTTCGGAAAAATCTCGATTAATCAAAATTATGAAAATACAGAGGTCAATATTTATGAGTCCATTTGGTGACTTCGTTACTCTTCCTGCACTTTGCATATACTTGCTCAACCTGAAAATATGATGAATATGAACCTCCCCCCCCCCCCCGTGTATCGGTGTGTACACAGACACACAGATGTATATATAGTATTTAGTACAGGTAGTCTTTGACTTTGGTTGTTTAGAGATGGTTCAAAGTTACAATGGATCCTAAGAATGGGATTTACAACCCGGTTTCGAAGTTGCAATGTCCATCCCCCATGGTCACGTGACTGTTTTTGGGCACTTGGTATTCGGCCTGCATTTACAACCATTTGCAGCATCCCATGTAACATATCTATGGTTATGCAGTAACATGTCTATGGTTTACGATGTTTGTTTGTTTATCTTGGAAACCAGTATTTATATCCAGTTCCTGGAAAAATTAGCCCACAGTGAACAATGGATTCAATTAATGACCACAGCATTCACCTAATGACTGTGGTGTTCATTTAACAATTGCTGGAAAAATATATCATAAAATCAGAAATGGTCACCCAATGACAATCATCACAACTTACTTACAGCCAAAATTGTGGCTTTATTATGGCTGTATATCAAGGACTATCTGCATATTATGTGAGTAAATCAGATAAATGTAAGGATATATGGTAATAAAACCAAGGAATATATGCCTACATGGGTAGCGGCTTTGTGAGAAAAAAATAAATAAATGGCAGGTTGAGATCAGTTCTCAGCGTGGTTCAATAAAAATGATAATCATATACTAGCAAATCCTGCAGCATAAATTGCACAAGATTTGCCAAGGGAGGGATGGTTATGGTAGATGGAAAAACTCTCCTGTGTAAATGGGTGAGTGCATGAATACTCAGTCACAATAAGTATCTTCCTTTTTTTTTCTTTACCACAATTCTCAAAGATAGGCATATAACATTTAAAAGCTTGGCTCCATATATAAATATTAATACCATACACAATACAATTCAGACAAGGAGAAAAAAAATCTCAATTTGAGCAAAAGCTGATGTTAGATGTGATGTGGGTATTACAAGACCTTTGAAAGGAGGGAAAGGATAGTCCAAGAGATAGTGGAATTCAGGAATTAAATTCATTACCCTGTTTTAGAGATACGTGAGAGAAATGATGGCATTTCTTATTATCACTCTACTTTATAGAAATGCCTGCATGGACAGTTAGCTCCTAATCAGCTTGGAAGTCTCTTGCCCATGATCTGTTATAGAAGCATGAGAAAATTACACATGTAAGCAGAAAAGTCAATATCTTTACTGCCACAGTTTCCTGTTACTCAGTAAGGAAGGTCATTAATGGGATGGAATCATTGCAAGAAGCTATTCGGAAAATTTTAGACTGTGCTGAAATGGACAGAAAATAAAAGATGAAGAAGACACAGAATATTATTTGATATGGAATAGATTTTACGAATGGTTAGAGACAAGAGGTAGAAATTAGAGGAAGAAAGACAATGAATGCATGCATCAAAAATAGAGATAATTTATAATTATAATCATAACTATTAAAAATTGTAAATAAGATAATATAAAAAGTTTAAAGTACTTGGTGATATTATTACTATTATTATATGTTATTATTAGTATTGCTTTCTTTATGTGTGTTCATATTTAATGTAGTATCCTTTATGGGGTTTTTTTGCTTGTAATTGGTATGCCCTGACAATGCACTGTATTCAAAATGTTTATGAGTAAAATTATAACAAAACTCCCAAATTCATGGACCGAAGCCTATATTACCTTTATTTTAAAAGAGAATACCAATGACCAACAGATACAAAACTGCAGACCGATTTCATTACTTAATGTGGATTACAAAATATTTGTTACAATAATTGTGGAGAAGGTTAAGAAAATTTTGCATGAATATATCCATCCTGACCAAAATGGATTCATACCACAGAGACATTTAAGAAATAACACCAGACTGATAATGAATGTATTAGAGTATTATGAGGCACACCCACACAAGCACTTGGTGTTAATGTTTATGGATGCACAAAAAGCCTTTGACAATTTGAACTAACTGAGAAATTTAATATATCAAAAGGAGTAAGATGGGGTGCCCGCTATCGCCACTACTATTTATCATTGCAGCAGAGATACTATTAACACAGATTAGAAATAACCAAAAAATAAAAGATCTGAGAATTAGAACAAAAGAGTATAAAATGCAAGCATTTGCTGATGACATAGCATTCATCATAGAAGACCCAACAGGACATATATTGCTACAGGAAATTGAAGAATTTGGCAGAGTGGCGGGACTAAAAATAAAGAAAAAATAAAGATATTAACAAAGACTATGATGGTGAAACTGAAGGAGGAATCGGAGAAGAAATTGGGGATTCAAATAACCCAAAAAATTGAAATATCTCAGACTGTGGCTGATAGCTAAATGTTCATCAATAAATACAGATAATTACGAGAAATTACCAAAACAAATACAAAAGGACTTGGAAAATTGGGGGAAACTTCATATTTCATTGATAGTGAGAATTGCTATTATTAAGATGAATATACTACCTAAGGTATTATTCCTTTTTCAAACAATTCCAATAAAATTAGGCAAAACCTTTTTTGAAGAATTGAACAAAACAATAAAAAAAATTATTTGGCAAGGGAAAAAGGCCCAGATAAAATTAAAGCTCCTGCAGGATAGTAAAGACAAGGGTGGGTTTGGACTTCCAGATTGAGAACTCTATTATCAGACCGCAATAACAACATGGATTAAAGATTGGGTAAATCTAAAGAATAAAAGAGTGTTAATATTAGAAGGACGTGATCTGCAGATTGGCTGGTATGTGTTCATGTGTGAAAGAAAAAATAAATTTCATTCATACTTTCAAAGACATCAAATTAGAGATACATTACTAGGGGTTTGGGAAAAACTAAAATGAAACCATTATACAAAGATCCCAATCTGGATATCAACCATGGAAGCTATGGTATATCCGAATGTTTTAGATCTGAATAAGACAGTGAGCTATAGTGAGCTATTAGATGAACAAGGGAAATTAAAATCTAAGCAGGAGCTTGTGTCACAAGGAATACAAGTAGATTGGTGGCCGTATTTACAGATACAAACTAGATATAAAAAAGACATAGAACAGTACAGGATGTATTTGGACCAAAAAGGATTGGACAAAATTTTACAGGGACCAGAGAGAAAAATGATTACCAAAATGTACAAGTATTTGTTAAGATATAAATTGGAAGAAGAAACTGTGAAGGAAACAATGATAACCTGGGCCAAAAACTTTGGATATAGTATTAATTTGGAAGATTGGGAAAACCTAAAGAAAATAAATTATCAATTAACTCTATCAGCAACTTATAAGGAGAATTTATACAGTATAAAATGTTTTATTGCTGGCACTTACTGCCAGAGAGACTTGCAAAAATGTTTCCCAATAATTCGGCAAGCTGTTGGAAATGTGGCTATGAGCATACTATTATATGTGGTGGACCTGCCCAAAAGCAAAAAAAAAATATTGG